GGTCCCCCCCCCCCCCCGGGTACCTGGCGCCCCCAGGGTGTAGTAGCCACATTCGGGCAAGGGAGCTCTGCTCGAGTGCTTAAGTTTTTCTCGCCATACTCGTGGGACTCGTTATGGAATTCTCAAATACAAATAAACCAACTTTGCCGAAAGGCCGGTTGAGCCTGACTCCGGCGGCACTCGACCGCCGTATCACGAGGAGATGGCCGAACATCAAGGCCAAGACCTAGCACCACAAGTGCCGGTGTCATGGGAAGAGATAGCCGATGCACCTGCAGTGACAACAGCAATCACTGACGCAGACGTGGAGAGCACGTTAGTCGCAACACCAGAACAGGAAGTAAAGGGTACCAATCGGGGACCCCCTGTCTGCCAGGTGGCGACCCCACCTGGTGATGAAAAGGAAACGGAACAGACGCCCATCGCCATGAGAGCGGAAACAGACATCGGAGATCTCATTGTCCTGGAAGATTCGCCCCTCCCTCTCCCCCAAAGAAAGAGAAGGGGCGATCCCATTGCCACTAGTGGCAAAACAAGGGAAACGGACGAGGGGGGTAAATTCCGCCGCCCCCCTCCGACACAGCGAGAGGCCGACACTAAATATCAAAGAGATACAGACGAATCGGATGACGATATCCCGCTGCAATACAGGCCCACAGGACCAGCTGCGGGCACTCGAAGCCGGGGTAAACGAGGCGAGGGGATGGACAACAGCACACAAGTGCTGTCCTCTGATGACCGCGATGAGACCAAAAATGCCCCAAAAAGGAAGGTAGCTCTGCCGAAAAAGAAAAAAAAAGGAAGGAAAGCAAAAGCAATGTGGAATGTGAAAATGACATTAAACAAGACTGGAGGAAAACAAGAAACGCAACAGTAAAAGGAATAGACAACGGTGCAAGGGGAAGTGGAACTAAAGATAAGGAAAATATATGGGAAGGGGAGGTCTTGTCAACATCAGATGAGGCCGGAAGGATAGAAAAGAAAGGGAAGAAAAAACAGGACAAAACAACCCCTGAACCCGAGAGGGAATCTTTGGGCCCACCCAAATACGACCATATGGCGGCGACAGCGGTGGGCGCGGTCGCCCTAGAATGGCTGGATGAAGTGGAATCCATCAGGACGAAGTCCCCGAACATACAGGGCCGCCTTAGTGGGCACATGAAGAAAAATGTCCTCAAACTAAAGGACATAGTATACACTCTGGTCGGCAAGGCAGAGGCAGCCGGTGATCCACTATATCTCAGGATGCGCAACAAGGAACTATTGCAGGAATTAGACGCCCTGAAGGCGCAATGCGAAAGAAATAGGCAAGACCTTGAAGAGGCCAACAAGAGAATCAAAGAAATAGAAAGGAAGGAAACCTAGCAACATGCAAATAAAGAGAGAGAGCAGAAGGAAAGGAAGCAAGCAACAATCACGAAAGAAGGAATAGCTGATATAAGAGACGTAACAGGAGAGGCTACAGAACGCACTCCAGCAAGAGAAAAAAAAGAAGAAATGGACTGTACAGAGGACAAAAACGACCGGGATATGGTATACAGACCCCCTCTTAAAAGAGTCCGCGCCCCTATACCGGCGCATACGGCTGCGCAAGATCCAACTGGGGATATGCGTGTAAGGGAGGAAGCACTATCCTAACAGATCACTGAACTAGTCAGGGCGAGGAGTAGCATCAGAAGGCAACTGGGCAAGGAAGCCATTAGGCAAAGAGGGAATGAAAAAGGATGCGAGGAAACCACCACAGGAAGGAATGGTGTGGCTCCAAAAACTAAAAAAGGACCAAGAATAACCTTGAACATTCAGCTGATCCCTCCCTACCAGCCGGAAGAATTTCCTCCTCTCGCACGAATCCCGGAAGGAAAGAAATCACAGGGAAGGGAAGAGGAAGAAACCAGAAGAGAAGACAAAGCATGGACAAATGTCAAAAAAGGATCTAGAGGAGAAAAAGGAAAGACGATGTCGATGAAAATGAAGAAAGAGCCAGAAGCAAACAAGGGCAAAGATGGAAAAACGGGGGTCCAAGACAACAGGATTGCGACCCCAGGCGGACACAGAGAAAGCAGAACCGCCGGAACTGTGCCTAGGCGACGTGTTCCAAAAACAGCCGGCACAGAGAATAATGTCTCATACAGCGATGCACTGAAAACGGCGCGGGAAAAGATATCCCTAACGGAACTAGGAATCGACCAGACTAAAATCCGCAGGGCAATAAACGGTGGACTCCTGGTAAAAATCGGGGGAACAGAAGGACCCACCAAAGCAGAGGTACTGGCGGCGAAACTTCGAGAAGTCCTCGGCCCGGACGCGGTGGTCGCCAGACCAGTTATTAAAGGCGATCTCCGCCTGATCGGCCTGGACGACTCGATCACAACTGAGGAAGTGCGATGCGTACCGGCGGAGCTGGGAGGATGTGCTCCAAAAGAAATTAAGAAGGGCCCCATCAGGGAATCCTATAACGGACTTGGCACCATATGGGCTCAGGGCTCACTGTCCGCAGTTGCTCGCGTTTCAGCCATGGGAAAGATCAAGATTGGATGGACCATTGCTCGGGTCGAGCCATTAAAACCTAGGCCCCTGCAATGTTTCAAATGCTGGAAGCTGGAACATGTCAAGAATAACTGCAAATCGACCGAAGACCGTAGCAAACTATGCTACAGGTGCGGACAGGCGGGTCACAACGCTCGCAGCAGCTCAGCCAAACCGAGCTGCGCAGTATGCACCAAAAATGGCAAGGAGGGTAATCACCAGCTAGGCACGGCGCAATGCCGGGCCAGTAAACCCAAAGAGAGAAAGTACTCAGATCGGAGGACTGGAGGAACATACCTGCAACAACAATGGATCTCAAGATCCTCCAATGCAACAACAATAGGAGTTGGACCTCCTACAACCTCATGGTCCACCAGGCGATGGAAATGGGGGTAGGCATATGTCTGATTTCGGAACCCCCGAGGGCCCAGGATTCTCAGCAACGATTCAGTAGTCGCGATGGACTGGCATCAATCCTGTGTATACCGGATCAAATACCAGAGGGCAGGACCTGCTCCCTTGTTAAACAGGGACGCGGTACTGTCACCATTCAGATTGGAGAATTGTGGGTGACCTCCTGCTACCTGTCACACAACGCTACCCGGGCCGAATCTCTAGTGTTCTTCGACGAACTAGAGGAAATTGTACACGACAAAGGGGCCACTCGAACGATTATTGGCGGAGACTTCAACGCTCGATCAAGGATGTAGGACCCCCGCGGCATTAACAACAGAGGAGCACTTGTTGAAGAGTAGGCCGCGGGGCTGGACCTGCGTATATTAAATGATGGCGAACTGCCCACATACGTGCATCTGCGGGGCTCATCCACAGTGGATCTCACATGGGTGACCCCGGATGTCCTAAAAGCGACCCTTGGATGGACAGTGGCAGACCTGAAAACACTGTCTGACCATAAGTACATTACATTCCGATTTAGAATGGATAGGTCCCAGGCAATCGCGGGCGCGAGAGCTCGGAGGTTCCCAGGATGGAACGTTAGAAAATTTGACCCCGAAACCTTCTCTGCAGCCCTAGAGTGGAGCGGGCGTGAGGGACCGCCCGAGGCCGAGTCGCCGGAGGTCTACGCAAAATGGCTCCAGGAAAGGCTGCAGGAGGCCTGCGATTTGGCGGCCACTAGAACTCGCAAGTGCTTCGCAAAACACCAAGTATACTGGTGGAACGCCGCTATAGAGGCGCTAAGGAGAGAATGCGTCAACAAAAGGAGGTCGCTGATCAGGCTAAACAGAAGATCGACCAGACACAAGAAACGGGCAGGAAGCCCGGGACGAGCCGGTCAACACCAGCCCTCACCATCCCGAAATCCGCGCCGAGAACCCGATGAACTAACATCAAGGCTGGCCGAAGAAGCTTACAAAGAAGCCAAGCGGAATCTCCACAAAGAAATAGCCAGAGCCAAAACCGAAGCCTGGCATGAGCTGATTAATTCAATCGAAGCGGACTCTTGGGGACTGCCCTATCGACTGGTCCTCAAGAAACTCAAAGGAGCGTCCTCCGCTGTCACGGAGACACTAAAGGCGGACGCCCTTGAGACAGTACTGAACGGACTATTCCCGAGTGGCGAAACACACGAGCCGTAGGACACTCCACCGGAAGGGGCCTCACAATGGGACAACTCCCTCGAACTCTCCCAGGACACGGTTCGTCACCTAATTAAAACCAGACTTGGCAGAAATACCGCCCCGGGGGTAGACGGGATCAAATCGGTCTTTTGGAAAAGGGTCCCGGAGTGCATAATCACCAGAACGAGGGAATGTTACAACACATGTCTAAAAAAGGGCGTGTTCCCTGCGGTATGGAAAAAGGCTAGACTCGTCCTTATCCCCAAGGCCACAAAGGGGGGCGTGATGGCGAATCAGGCCTAAAAAATGAGGCCAATATGCCTTCTTAGTGAGGTCGGCAAATCGTTTGAACGAGTACTCGTTGATCGCCTCACGAGCTGGATGGCTGAAAACCCATCTGCTGACACTGTACAAAGACCAATATGGTTTTAGAAAAGGACGATCGACATACGATGCACTATTAAGAGTGAGGCAGATTGTTCGCGAGGCCGGGGAACACAGCAGATATGTCATAGCAACAAGCCTTGACATAAGGAACGCTTTTAATTTATTACCGTGGCCAAGCATCCGTGACGCGCTGCACAGGAAGGGCTTCCCACCATATATCAGAAGAATAGTGAACAGCTATCTATCTGAAAGACAAATTGAGTTCGGAATAGCTGGAGGACGCACAAAAGAAAGGGAGGTCAGGGCAGAAGTACCGCAGGGAACAGTCTTGGGCCCTCTCCTATGGAACCTGACCTACGATTAGGTACTGAGATCACACCTCGTAGAAGGTTGTACTGTCATCGCGTACGCGAATGATACATTAATATTATCCACAGCGGAGAACGAAAAACTCGCGGCGATGCGTGCCAACCTGCAAATCGCTTTGGTAGCGGGCCGCATACAACGATTGGGCCTGGAGTTGGCCGCAGAGAAAACAGAGACAATCTTATTCTACGGCTCCAGAAAAAAGCCAGAAGAATTCCTCTGCGTAAGAGTCCTGGACGAACTGGTCCAGACCAAAGAAACGATGAAGTATCTGGGCATTCTCTTGGACAGCAGACTGACATTCAGACACCACTTGGAATATGCTGCGGGCAAGGCGCTAAAAATGGCAAGGGCACTGGGGCGCCTCATGCCCAACCTCCGGGGGCCCCACGAGGCAAGGAGAAGACTTTACGCGACGGTAGTACTATCCGTCGCTTTATACTAGGCGCCACTATGGAGCGAGGCCGTGGGATCTCCGGCATCGTCAGCCGCGCAAAGACTGGCGCTGCAGCCGATGAAAAAAATGCAACGCTTCCTGTGCCTCCGCATTATTGCCGCCTATAGAACGGTCTTCTGCTAGACGGCCACGCTGCTAGCACGAATACCGCCAATCTACATATTAGCAAGCGCGCAGCAAAAATATACCAAAGAATACGGGATCTGAAGAAGTCCGAACGCTGGACGCCTGAAGCGGAGGCCGAGATAAGACAGGGAGAGAAAGCTCTAATGACAAGGCAATGGTGTGTTCACCTGCGGGGCAGAGGATTGGCCGGTGCACGGGTACGTGAGGCCATTGTACCCAGTCTGGATGATTGGCTCGGACGAAACCACGGTAGAATGGTCTTCCACCTTACGCAAATCATTACCGGTCACGGCTGCTTTAATGACTACCTAAACCGAATCGGTAAGTCAGGGACATGCCTATGCATGGACTGCAACATGGGTGTGGACACAGCACAACACGTCTTATAAGACTGTACAGCGTGGATCAGCCAGCGAGAGGAATTGCGATCGGTGGTAGGGGAGGATCTCTCCCTCCCGGCACTTGTACAAGCGATAATAAGGGACAAGAAGGGCTGGGACGCGGCTAAATTCGCCAGCACGGTCATGCGGGCGAAAGAGGAGAGCGAGAGGCAGCGACGGCTGGAGCGCAGACAAAGCACAACCGCCTGCAAGCCGCCATCTCCAGGAACAAAGGAAGACTCCCCGAGGCCATAAACAAACCCTTCGGGTGAGTGACTATGAAAGGTTGGACGGAAAGCCCACCCACCCTGAAGGGGGGGGGGTGTAACGAGGCGTTTCTACCTCGTTCCTAATAATGTATAGCTATGTTCAATCGTTCTATTTACTATGTAGTTTCACTTACTCCGCCGTTATGTTCTCGACTGTTGTCGGCAGTTACAATATATTTATATTACGTTCTCCCTGCTTCACTTAATTGCGCTGCCCGACACCCGTTACACGACTAGCACGCCGGGAGCCCGGTAGTATTCCCGGTCGCCGCTACGCGGCGCGAACGCGAGGTTGAGGCAGCACTCGCAGTTAAATTTCCGCGGCCGCCTCTATAAAAGGGGGGCTCGCGGAACCATCGGCACGAGTTCACCGCCGGTCTCCTAGGAGACCAGCACGGGAGCGTGACACCGCGAACTCAGCCTCTCGAGGCACACCGTTCCAGACGACGACGTGCCGGGTTTCGGCCGCCGATCGAATTCAGAGGAGAGCGCGTCGGGCTTCGACCGTGACTCTAAGACACACTGTTCCAGACGACGACGTGCCGGGTTTCGGCCGCCGATCGAATTCAGAGGAGAGCGTGTCGGGCTTCGACCGTGACTCCACGACTTCCCGTTCCAGACGACGACGTGCCAGGTTTCGGCTGCCGATCGAACTCAGAGGAGAGCGTATCGGGCTTCGACCGTGACTCCACGACACACCGTTCCAGACGACGACGTGCCGGGTTTTCGGCTGTCGCTCGAACCCAGCGGAGAGCGCGTCGATCGAACTCAGCGAAGAGCGTGACGGGCTTCGACTGTGACAACACGACACACCGTTCCAGACGACGACGTGCCGGGTGGAAGTCAACCCAAGGGACGACGCGGCCCAGAGCCTGGATCGCGGCCTGCCGCCACCGCGACCGCCCACCATTCCGTTGCACCGGCAACACCGATCGCACGCGCCTCGGCGCAGTATAAAAGCCCCACTCACTGTACACCAAAGCAATAAACTCTCGTTGTAAGTTAACACAATCGAGCACATTACTGCCCTCTTTCTCTCCTATTACGATCCTGGACGCCGGCGAGCTTACCCAAGCGATAAACCGCAAGAAAAGAACGAGGCGAGAGAAGTGACCCCGTTACAGATGTAGGATAGGACCGAACCGACAACAGCCGCTCCTGGCCGCTAGAGTAAAGTGGGGGACGGCGGTACCTGGGGAATCCGGAACCCCCCTCACGGTGCTGCGGGGCGACGGGCGGAAGGCATTCCCGCCCGCCGCCGCCTGACACCCAGTTGAAGAGAATGCGGGGGTGAGGGTCTCACCCCCCTACCCCCGCCGGGTAGGAGCGCAAACAGCTCTAGCAAGGACCTCTCGGAAGCATGCCTGATGGCGATCTTCGAGAGGGGTCCTGAATTGCTGGGTAGGATGCCCGTGGGGTTTTAGCCGGTAGGAGTCCGGCACTGTCCCCCTCTCTCCCCGGAGGGTGGGGGCGTCCATGAGGATTTCCCCACGCAAAAAAAAGTTAGTTTAAGGGGGTGCGGGGGGTGCAGCCCCCTACTCGCCGTTCGATATTTTTCTCATGTTACAAATGTTAAAAACATTCTTAATTTAAATATTTTTTTAGTAAGTACTGCAATATCGAACGACGAGCGGGGAGCTGCGCCCCCCGCACACCCCCCTTAAAACTAACTTAACCCAACCTATTGTCACATTAACCGTCAGTCATTGTTTATTAAAGTGTTCAACTTTTGTGTTAATGTGACGATAGATTGAGTTAGGTTAGTTTTGAGGGGGGATGCGGGGGGCGCAGCCTCTCGCTAGTCGTTCGAAATTGCAGTTATTATTCGATATTGCTCGTTAACGGTACACAGTATCGTTTTTGTATATATGTAACCGCGATTCGTTGCGGGTTTGAATCGCTTGTCGGATCGC